TATGCCCAGGTTGAAGGGCTCAAGACTTTGCTAAGTAATTTAGCTTCTCAACTAGTAAATAGGGGAAGTCTAGAGTTCCGTACTTCTGACGAGGCTATGTATTTTATCAAACACAGATTCAGCCATACAAAGGTTCTCATTTTTCTTGATGACGTGGGTGATTCTGAACAGCTTACTCAGATTGCAGGTGACCTTACGGGTTATGGTCCTGGAAGCAGAATTATTGTGACATCTAGAAAACAAGATGTCCTTATGAAGATCAGAGTAACAGCTCAAAAATATGAGGTTGAGGCAATGGAAAAAGGTCAAGCTCTTCAACTTTTTGGTAAGCATGCTTTCGGGAAGGATTTTGTCGGAGAGGTCGACCATACTCTTTCTAGCGCCATTGTATCAGCTACTGGTCGGCTTCCTTTAGCTCTTGAAGCAGTGGGTTCTTGCTTATTTTTTAAACCAAAAGAAGTATGGGAAGATGAACTGAAGAAATATAAAGGTGCTCCTCACGAGAAAGTTGAAAAGGTGTTGGAGATGTGTTATGAAGATTTAAATGAAAATCAGAAAAAGATATTTCTGGATATAGCATGTTTTTTTATTGGAAAGGACGAGAGAATGGCCAATTACATGTGGGAAGACTCTGAATATTTCCATCGAAGGGGCATTGAAGCACTTCTTGTTAGGTCTTTGGTGAAAGTTGGAGAGAATAACGAGCTGCAGATGCATGACCAACTAAGAGACTTTGGTAGGGAAATAGTAAGGAAGGAGAACCCTGAAGAGCCTTGCAGGCGAAGCAGGTTGTGGAATCACAAGGAAGCATTAGCCACACTAAATGAAAAGAAGGTAAATGCAAGGACAAGATGTGATTCCTTGAGTGGACAAAGTCAATGCTCTTTTTGATTTATTTGTCCTTCATTCATTCATTTTAATTTGGATGAGAAAATGAAATGATGCTTTTCCAGGTTTTCTTGTTAAAATGAAATGATGCTTTTCCAGGTTTTCTTGTTGGTTTTCTCATCCAGCTAACTTTTGTTTGACTGACAGGGCACTAAAAATGTGCAAGGACTTGAACTCATGTTTGATCATGGAACTGATGTTTGTTTCACTAGCGAAGCATTTGATCCCCTGTCGAATTTGAGGTTCCTTAAACTGGATTGTGCATATATTGAAGGCAATCTTCAGAATCTTCTTTCAAACTTAAGATAGTTGGATTGGCGAATATGCCCTGAAAAGACCTTGGGACTTTCTCATTTCAATGTCGAAAACTTGATCATCCTTGATCTGTCATGGAGCCGGGTAAATCATGGTTGGAGAGGTTGGGAGCTGATAGGAGAGGTAGATATTACATTTAGTTTTATCTTGTTGATCCTACGATTTTCAAGAACTCATTCTTTTTTATTGTCTCATTGATTTGCAGAAGGCGAAGAAATTGAAAGTTTTGAATCTAACAGGCTGTCTCAAGTTACTTGAATCTCCAGAATTCCCTGCTCCAATTAAACTAGAAAGATTGATTCTGGATACTTGTTTTAAATTATCCTTGATTAGCCCATCCATAAAAAATCTAGGCAGCTTAGTTTCCTTAAATTTGAAGTCTTGTAATGTGGACCAGCTGCCAGATCTGAGTTTCATGGATACTTTAAAAGAGCTTGTGATTGATGGGACACTTATTGATACGATTCGGTTCCAAAAAGAATCTATGGAGCAACTTGAGACTCTTAGTGCTTGCAATTGTGAAAGGTTAGAACAAATATATGAAATTGATCACTTACGATCTCTCTCTAATCTTGCACTGGATGGAGCTGCTATAAAGACCCTCCCAGTTTCCGTTGGGTCGCTGCAGAAACTTCAACGCCTATCTTTAAGGAACTGTCAGAAATTAACTGAAATTCCACTATCCATTGGAAAGCTCAAGGAACTGCAGTTTATGGACCTGTCATACACGGGAGTTGATGAATTGCTTCATTCAGTCAAGCATTTGGAAAATTTGAAAGTGCTAAAGATGGAAGGTACTCACATAAAAGAATTTCCTGAAGCAATACGAAATCTGCCAAAGTTGGAAGAGATATATTTTTCTCTCTGCTGGAATTTGGAGATTCAGATGGACTGTGATCTTGGGGGATTATCCTCTTTGAGAGTCCTGAAATTATCCTATACCCGAATTTCCCACTTGCCTGAGAGCATTTGTTGCCTCTCAAATCTCCAAAAGCTTGACGTACGTAACTGCGAGAAGCTTCAGGCTCTGCCAGAATTTCGTTCTAGTGTAATCATCCTGCGCTAGGCATCGAGAAAGTTGTGGACAGCCTTGGAACTGGCATGCCTGACTATCATAGAAGGTTGGTACTTTGGTGATGATCCTGTTCCATAGTGGTAAGAATCTCTGAGCTGGGAGAGGAATTAATCTAATTTTGGAACCTTAGATTTTAACCTTTCAAGAAGCATGAACTTCATATTTAGGTTGTATTCTTAACTCCAGACAATTCATGCTGCCAAAGTAAGGGGGCAAAAGCTGAATTGTTGTCTTTCTAAGAGGCAAAAATTTGATTGCGCCCCAGATTTTCTACAATGAGACGTACTTGCCAGTTAAACTCGTAATTGTTTTGTGTTGCAGCATTCCACCAATTAGTAACTCAAGGTTCAAGAAGGCAACGGAGACCCAATTCTGGAATTTCTAGGACTATGGTTGGTTCTGAAACCATTTTACTGCAGTATAACTAACCTCATGTGCTTGAATAAATACTTTGCTTCTTTAAGATTGTTGCGGTCTATGATCTTCTCTTTGACAGGTTACTGAAATAGTGAAATTGTTGCAGTTGAAATTGTCCGAGCAGGAGCATGGTGGTATTCGAATTTTGCAGACTTGCGACAGCCACGGCGGAGTTGCATCAGATCCCAGCAATGGCCATGGCCACATATCAAAATCACAAACCACCCCTGTATCCGAGACTTGCAACAGCCACGACGGAGTGGAATCGTATCCTGAGCGCAGACTCTGCTCCCTTGGCAACTGTGTTAATTGCCACGTTGATGTTGATGACAGTGATGGCAATGGATATTGCTGTATATCCAAATCACAAACTGCCCCCATACTGGAGGCTTGCAACAGCCTTGATGGCACAGACCTCGAATGCGACTCCAGACTGTGTGTGGCAACTGAGGCGACTGTTGATTTGGCAATTGCGATGCCTATGTGCCAAAATCATATACCGCTCCAGTACTCGAGCACTCTGATGGCAGTGACCATGTGAAGCGTGGTTTTGACCGCGGTGGGAATGGCGACAGTCACAAACGCCTCCAAGACAGTGGCAATTCTCCCTGCTGTGCTAACGTGATCCACTGCAGCAATTATGAACAGGTGGTTAGTAGGGTGAAGAGCACGGTTTCGAGCATAACGTCAATGACATGGACCTTGGTGGAGACGAGAGATTTCGTGCTGATGGTGACCGAATCAACTGCAACGGCAATGACTGCAACTGCATTGACCAGGACGGCAATGACCGTTGCCGAGCCGAGCATGACTGCACCGAGCACCTAGGCAACGACGTGACGGCGGCTTCGACCGCCGCAGCGACAATGGCGAAAGTAACAACCCTCAAGGATTGTACCTAGCTGCAGTTGACCGAGTGATGGTCATCTGATCATGGTGGAATGGAATAGAAGCGAACATGTCTTCGAAGTCAGTCGCGTCAGAAACTATGACAGAAGAGCATAGTTCTGAATGTTTCATATGTGGTTGCGCTTAGGCATCCATCTGCGTTCTCACGTTCTCACGTTCAACAGGTTCCCTTCTATGCACCCTTGTGTTGATCTAGGAACAATTATGAATTGGTGCGTTCGCATTTCAGATCAAGCCCACAAGAACCATGACAGAAGAGCATACTTCTGAATGTTTCGTATGTTCCCTTCTATGCACGCTTGTGTTGATCTAGGAACAATTATGAATTGGTGCGTTGGCGTTTCAGATCAAGCCCACAAGAACCACGACAGAAGAGCATACTTCTGACTGTTTCATATGTGGTTTGCGCTTATGCATCCATCTGGGTTCTCACGTTCAACAGGTTCCCTCCTATGCACGCTTGTGTTGATCGAGCAACAATTATGAATTGGTGCGTTGGCGTTTCAGATCAAGCCCGCAAGAAGCCAGCAGGTCTTTAGACTGTGGAGAGCGCTTGCATGGCAAACCACAAGAAGAGAGAACACCGCGGTAATGCGACTTTCCGTGAGCGTGTGCGAGCTGTTTACTCTCCTGGGGAAAGAGAGAGGCAGAGAGAGAGCATACCTCCCGGCTCCCTGCCACGACTCTTTACCAATTAATCTCTCTCTATCGGAAAGCAAAACTCAACGTTAAATTAACGACCGCATTTTTCTCATTATATAGATATAGATTTCGCTTTTGAAATCTTATATTTAAGATATTTTCGCTATCAAATCTCCGTTTGATACGAAATCCCAAAGATTTTCGGAATCCGCCAATTCAAAGGCAAATATAAAAGGCAAATATACGCTTTGCCCAGGCTCGGATCTTGCCTGGACCGCGGGTCTTCGATTTGGAAGGTAAGCAGTTCTGATCCGCCGACGCTGCGGTTCTTTGCTCCGTCGGTCGCGCCGGTGCGGTCGCGAACGATTCGTACGGGGAGCAAGGGAACGGTGGGATTCCGTGTCGGTGGATCGGAGTTGGGTCTTTTTAGGTCCGTTTGAACTGTAGAAATCTTGGATTTGCGTTGCGTTGATGTCCGTGTGCGAGTGGGGGCTTCGATTCCGTGGTGCGAGCGAGAATGCCGTTCGATTGTTTTACTCGTGGAAGTCTTGGAACGGCGATTTTTTCGCCCGGTTTGTGGTGAAATTCGATCCAGATCTAGGAATTGATTGGAGTCGAATTTCGCGTCTCTGTTGGGTTTTGGAGGGTTGGGGGAATTTGCTGTTTTACTTGCGTTTTGGTGATACTGAACTGATACGTGCAAGATCTGATGGGATCCTTGGGAATCTCTTTGTGTTTCAGTGGTTAGGTTTCGGTAGAGCTCAAAGACCCGAGTCGGAATTTTAAAGAAAATGCTGAGAAAGGCAGCGCAGTCTTCTTTTCGGGATCGGACGCAGGAGTTTCAGAGTATAGCGGAGAGATTAAAGAAGTCGGTTTCAAATGGGCCGGGACCGAATGGGTCGAGCAGCAGCAGCTGCTCCAAGGGGGAAGGGCGGCGATCGGGAGTTGCCCTTCAATCCGAGTTCAATCGGAGGGCTTCGAAAATCGGGTTTGGGATACATCAGACGTCCCAGAGGCTTGCGGAGTTGGTGAAATGTAAGCATCCGAATAGTTCAGAAATAGCAGCTGTTTCATCTTCAGTTATAATTACATGTTCAATTCATGCCTAGGCAAAGCATATATTTGTCTTTTCTAAGTAGCATTGTTACATTTGGCATTGTTTGGAGTGACCTCAGAGGTGTGTGACAGTTTGCATGGGTCGTGGTTTCGCATTATAGATAGTTGTCCCACTAAAGACTTCTGTAAATGACCGATTGGCTACATTTCTGGTTGCAGTGGCAAAGAGAACCTCCCTTTTTGACGATCCAACTATGGAAATTCAGGAGCTTGCTGCGGTCATCAAGCAGGATATTACTGCCCTCAACTCTGCTGTGGTAGATCTTCAGCTCCTTTGCAATTCCTGGAATGAGGGCGGTGTCTCCAGTGACACGGCTAGTCATTCAACTACGGTTGTAGATGACCTGAAATATCGATTGATGAGCGCTGCAAAAGAGTTCATAGAAGTTCTAACCATGCGAACCGAGGTAAGTCCAGAAGCTGCGGGAGGTTCACATGTGGAATGCTTCCCTAGTACATAGAGTTATCTAATTTTTCTTTGCTATTGCTGAACTCAATTAAGTTGGTTATTGATGTGTCTTGGATAATCACATGCGTTCGGTCATAACCATATTCTGTTGTTTACATGTAGAAGTTGAAGGTACTTGAAAATAGGAGACAGTTATTTTCTTCCACTGCTTCAGAGGAAACCGCCAATCCTTTTGTTCGTCAATGTCCACTGGCTGCTGCTAATGCCTCAGCAGCTCCACCTCCCCCATGGGCTAATGGGTCGCCGCCGTCGTCATCATCATCACCCCCATTGCTCCCCGGGTAAAATCTGTATTCTTTTGCAGTGTTGTTTGCTAGCTGCCAGTCCAAACTACTTTGCACTTACTTCTTACGGGCCAAGCATTTGTTTGGAGCTCTGAATTACTCATACGGTACACTTGCACGAACTTCATCCTATCTTTGAACAGCTGCAGTGTAAATGTTTTTTTAGGAAATACTGTGATCGTCCTGTATGTTTGATATTGCATCTAGATCGTACTCATCTGTGTGGTTCTTCGAAATTGAAGCTGTTGATCGCATCAGAAACCCCATGATCTGCTATCGAGTCAAATTGCTTGTCATTTGAAACTCTTTCTAGAGTCAATTATTGTTTCTGTGTTGCCTAGTATACCACCGATTGGAACCTAAGGTTGAAGAAGGCAACAAAGAGACAATTCTGAAATTTCTAGCACTATGGTTGGTTCTGCTACCGTTTTACTGCAGTATAAATAACCTTATGTGATTGAACAAATACTGTGCTTCTTTAAATTGCCGCGGTCTATGATCTTTTCTTGGACAGATTATTGACATTGCTGCAGTTGAAATTGTCTGAGCAGCAGCATGACGGTATTCAAATTTTTGCTGCAATGGGGAGGAATGGCGGTTGACAGATTTCACACATTGTGTGAGAGGCAAGGGTAAAGTTGCTATCGAGAACTCAATTCCAACATTATGAGGGAGGAGGGTACGTGGTGTTTTGGCCGGACACTGTATAGGAGATTCATTTCAAATGGAAGAAGGCGGTTACTTATTGCGGTTCTCCTGTTCCGATGATTCGCTGCTTCCATTAGTCTCAGTAAGTTCGTATCGACAGTAAAATTCGGAACTCGTCCCTGCATGTGAACTACAGTTTACTCGGTTGTAATAGACGTGTTCCTTCGGGGCAGTTAGCTCGTCTAAGATTATCATCCTTATCGGCATAATCTGTTCATGCACTAAAAGCTCATGTTGGATGGCCTTAAACTTCGTTCATACTCTTGAAACTTTTTTTCCGAGTAGATGTGCATGTCCATGGATTCATTTTGCCTGAATGGCCGGACGAAGATTGTCGACTCAGCTGGATCCAATACATCATGATCACCTGACCGGAACTCCCTGATACCCGGAAAATGTAATTTGCTAGCCTGCACCCGAAGCGTTTCCCTGCGCAGTGAACAGATTAAGTAATCACATTCTCATCTATGCAAAATTACGGACAACTTTTCTCGTCGAAGGAGATATGTAGAGCTGCTGTTTCTCTTACAGGGATCGTAAAGAGGAATGTTTTTCCAGCATTCCATGACGTCGAAGAAGTACACAAATAACTAAAGCCGGAGCTATTTCCGTGGCTTCCATCTCCTAAATAATGCGTTGATCTGTAAGGCTAGTTGCTCTTCCGTTTCTTTTTATAGAGACTAGGGCCGTCGAAAAAGCCGGACCCGACCCCGAATCGAACCGAACCGAAGCGAGAGAGAGAGATATCAATGATCGCGCCGGTAGTTCTGCTGGTGTTAGCTGTCGTAATAGGCGGAATCATGTAGAGAGGGACATGGAGGCGTATCTTCAGCGCATCATCTCTTGGACGACACTAGACGAAGACATGTTCGCTTCAGTCGATACATTCGCCGCAGCTTCTTATTGCAGTCATCCTCTTCTTCGTCACCGTCCCGAGGAGCTGTCCACGTCGTCATGTAGGCGTTCGATGCAGCCATGCTTGGCGCCACGACAGTCATCGTCGTCGCGGTTGATGCAGTCACCATTGGCACGAAATCTCTCGTCCCCACCAAGATCCACTCGCCTACCAGGTCATCATCACCGTCGCAGTGGTCCATCGTAGCACATGGCGGAAGCGAACCGCAGTGCTCGAGTACTGAATTGGCATATTTTATTGCGGGACGGGCATCGCAACCGCCAAATCGACGGTCGACTCAGTTGCCATACGCACAAAAAGCCTGGGGTCACATTCGAGGTCCGCGTCGTCGTCTTGGTCCCGACCATTGAGTACCGGGGCTGTTTGTGATGTGGATGTACAGCCATCGCCATTGCAGACACAGTCACCACGGGCGCGCTCGGGATCAGGGTCCGTATCGTCACAGCCATCGCGAGTCTCGAGTGCAGGAGCAGTACGCAATTTCAACACTACAGCAACCGCAACGATGGCCGTCGCAACAATCGCTGCCCTCGCAGGGGTGCCCGAAATCGTCGCGGCAGTCGACTCGGTCGCCACGGGCGCAGACTCAGATCAAGCCAGCAAAGTCCTTTAGACTGTGGAGAGCGCTTGCATGGCAAGGCACGAGGAGAAGGAACGCTGCAGAAACGTGACTTCTGTGAGCGTGTGCGACTAGTTACGTATCGCATGAATAATTTGAAAAATATTTTTTCTAAAATAATCCTTTATATAACTTGAAATAATCAGTGACCGGAAAATATTTCGTTATCATGGACGATAAAAATTATTTTCGTAAGCGATGCGAGTGATTTTATTCTTAGGATAATGTTTTCCAAATCATTCATTTCCGACAAATGAGATATCTATTTACTTTAAGACCAACTTATGATATAAGGTCGAATTAATTGTAGATGAATCCACAGGCTATTTTATGGTTCGGCACCTAAATCCGAAAACCAAAATTAATCGTGGCTCTGCACTATCTAAATGTAGTTAGACAAATGTCAAAAAAAAAAAGTTCTGCTTCTTTTTAATTAAAACTTGAATCGGCATCTCCAGCTAAAATTCGGAGTCGACGACGCGAGCAGCACGCGTTGGGTCTAGTCATAATTAATCCCACTTTGTTAGGTTACTTATTTGATTTATCACCAATTAAATAATGTTATCTTGAGAAAATCTACTAATTGTTAGAAGTATAATTTCTAGCTAATGTGCAAATTAACAACCGCATTTTTCTCATTATATAGATATAAATTTCACTTTTGAGATCTCATATTTAAAATATTTTCACCATCAAATCTTCATTTGATACGACATCCCGAAATTTTTTGGAATGCCCCAATTCAAACATATAAAAGGCAACTCATTAAACTTTGATAGAAAGTAACTTCTCGCTTAAGAAAAAAATATTAAAATAAACCATATCTTAGTAACACAAATTATCAACACTACACTTTTTTTTTTTTGGGATAATGATATAAACAGTCCATGAACTTTAGCTCAATGTGTAATTTGATCTCTAAACTTTTAATTTATTCAATATCATCCCTGAACTTTTAGTACATGTTCAAATCAGTCCTTGAACTATATGAAAATGTTCAATGTAATCTATGAACTTGAATTAATGGAAAGGACTGCATTGAATATTTTCATATAATTTAGGGATCAAATAGAATACGTACTAAAAGTTCAGGAATAATATCGAACAAATTAAAAGTTTAGGGACCAAATTACACATTAAATTTTTATTTTTTTTGTGAATTATCAAAGGAAAATTCATCCTCTTTTGTGGATTTGTGGACCCACCTTGGGGGTTGCCACATAAATTTCATGGGCAAAAGCAAATTGACCTTATATAGACATCGCGACAACAAGATATAACATTCCAATTCGTACATTTTGGCCATCAAGAATCGCCACGAAGCAGCGATTTCATCTTCTTCTACACCGACACCTTTCGATCGGATCTTGCGATCTCCTCGATTCATCACCTCGTTGTCGCCGGGGGGTAAATTTTCTTCTTCCCAGGGGTTCCCGGAGGAGCTCTAGGGCTCGGATCTTGCCTGGGATCGCGCGCGGGGTCTTTGATTTGGAAGGTAAGCAGTTCTGATCCGCCGGCGCTGCGGTTTCTTTTGCTCCGGCCGGTCGCGCCGCGGTGCGGCCGCGGACGATTCGCGAGGGGGCAAGGAACGGTGGAATTCCGTGTCGGTGGATCGGAGTTGGGTCCTTTTTTTTTTTTGAGGTCGTTTGAACTGTAGAAATCTTGGATTCGCGTTGACGTCCGTGTGCGAGCGGGGGTTCCGATTTCGCGGTGCGAGCGAGAATGCCGTTCTGGAACGGCGATTTTTCGCGCGGTTGGTGGCGAAATTCGATCGATCCAGATCTAGGAATTGATTGGAGTCGAATTTTGCGTCTCTGTTGGGTTTTGGAGGGTTGGGGGAATTTGCTGTTTTACTTGCGTTTGGTGCTGCTGAACTGATACGTGCAAGATCTGATGGGGATCCTTTGGAATCTCTTTGTGTTTCAGTGGTTATGTTTCGGTAGAGCTCGAAGAAGGACGGAGTCGGAATTCTAGAGAAAATGCTGGGAAAGGCTGCGCAGTCGTCTTTTCGGGATCGGACGCAGGAGTTTCAGAGTATAGCGGAGAGATTAAAGAAGTCGGTTTCAAATGGACCGGGACCGAATGGGCCGAGCGGCAGCAGCAGTTCCAAGGCGGAAGAACCACGGTCGGGGGTTGCCCTTCAATCCGAGTTCAATCGGAGGGCTTCGAAAATCGGGTTTGGGATACATCAGACGTCCCAGAAGCTTGCGAAGTTGGCGAAATGTAAGGATCCGAATAGTTCAGAAATAGCAGCTGTTTCATCTGCAGTTATCATTACATGTTCGCGCCAAGCCTGGGCGAAGCATATATTTGTCTTTTCTTAGTAGCATTGTTACATTTGGCATTGTCTAGAGTGACCTCAGAGGTGTGACAGTTTGCTTGGGTCTAGGTTTTGCATTATAGATAGTTGTTCCACTAAAGACATCTCTAAACAACCGATCAACTACATTTCTGGTTGCAGTGGCAAAGAGAACCTCGGTTTTTGATGATCCAACTATGGAAATTCAGGAACTTACTGCGGTCATCAAGCAGGATATTACTGCTCTCAACTCTGCTGTGGTAGATCTTCAGCTCCTTTGCAATTCCCGAAATGAGGGCGGTGTCTCCAGTGACACGACTAGTCATTCAACTACGGTTGTAGATGACCTGAAAAATCGATTGATGAGTGCTACAAAAGAGTTCAAAGAAGTTCTAACCATGCGAACCGAGGTAAGTCCAGAAGCTGCTGGAGGTTCACATGTGGAATGCTTCCCTAGTTCATTGAGTTATCTAATTTTGCTTTGCTATGGCTGAACTCAATTAAGTTGGTTACTGAAATGTCTTGGATAATCACATTGCGTTCAGTCATAACCATATTCTGTTGTTTACATGTAGAACTTGAAGGTACATGAAAATAGGAGACAGTTATTCTCTTCCACTGCTTCAAAGGAAACCACCAATCCTTTTGTTCGTCAACGTCCACTGGCTGCTAGAACAGCTGCTAATGCCTCGGCAGCTCCGCCTCCCCCATGGGCTAATGGGTCGTTGCCGTCGTCATCATCATCATCATCATCATCCCCGTTGTTCCCCAGGTAAAAGCTGTATTCTTTCGCACTGATGTTTGCTAGCTGCCAGTCCAAACTACTTTCCACTTACTTCTTACGGACCAAGCATTTGTTTGGAGTTCTGAATTATTCATATGGTACACTTGCACGAACTTCATCCTATCTTTGAACAGCTGCGGTGTAAATGATTTTTTAACGAAATACTGTGATTGTCCTGTATGATTGATATTGCATCTAGATCGCACTCATCTGCGTGGTTCTTTGAAATTGAAGCTGTTGATCACATCAGAAACCCCATGATCTGCAGTCGAGTCAAATTGCTTGTCATTTGAAACTCTTTCTAGAATCGGGCCGCTACAATCTTGCCCATCTGTTTGAACTGGAACTGCAACGTATTCACCTACTAAGCTATCGGAAAATTTGTTATCTTCAGAGAAGATCAGCATTGATTCCTCTATAATTTCCTCCATAAGACTAATGTTTAATTTGGACATATTCAATCTGGAACCATTTTCATTTTTTTAGCATATTATTGTTATCTTTACTTCAGCGACAGTGTTCGATGTTATATAGAGAAGGTCTTGGACGCAGTACACTTTTCAAAGCTCTCCTGCGATTGTAACCCATCTCTGCTAATGGGATGATAAGTACCTGTTCTATGGGACCTGTTGCAATGCCCCTAGCGTGGCAATAAGCATTAACATGATTTGCGGATGTGTTGACTTAGTGGCAATGCGTGGCAACATTGCATTGTTTCCTGCATCATTATGAACTAAATTATTTTCTCTGCATTTTGAATTTGGTGGGTATGCATGATTTCTTTAATTTCAACTTGTTATCAATCTTTGTGTAAATAATCAAACTTCTTAGTGGTCTTCCCTTCTCTTCTGATGAGAAATTGAAAATGCAAAACACGTCAAACCAATTATGTTGTGAGGATCTGATTTGTGCATTTTAATCTGAGACGCTGTTGACATTACTCATCATGCAATTTATACAATTTTGGTAGGAGGAATTAGCTTACATGTATGCATTTGCTGATATGACCTTCAATGTCATGTGTAATTCTTCCTCAGAAAGCAGGGAGATGGGGAGAGTCAGCCTTTGCTGCAGCAAAATCAACAGCAACAACAGCAATTGGTTCCTTTGCAAGACAGTTACATGCAGAGCAGAGCTGAAGCCCTTCAAAATGTAGAGTCTACCATTCATGAGTTGAGCAGTATCTTTAATCAGCTGGCGACCCTGGTTTCTCAGCAGGGAGAGATTGCAATCAGGTGTTTTTCCTGTCTAGAGTATCTCTCATGCAAGCTATTTAATTATTTGTCAGTGACCACTTTATGTTTGAGTACGAGAACATTTTTCTGGCTTATTAGACTCTTGTCCTTTTGAAATCTTGTCTGCATTTCTTCATTCCTTCTCCTTTTCTTCTTTTGAATTAAGTTACGACATATTAAATGTCTTGCGGAAATATAATGCAATTGAAAATGTCCTCCTATACTGAATATAACTGGAATAGTCTGAAGAGAGCATTCCACCATTGAATTGTTCTAGCTTCATCTCAGATAATACTGATCACCATTTTTCATCTCCTTTCTGTTTGTCATGGTTTAGGTTCCCTGCTAGCTACCAATACCATGATGACATTAGTTAGGAAAGTTCTTGTGCCTGCAGTAGATGTTATCTCCTGCATAGGGTGTCCTCTAGGATTGCTAGTGAGTTTTATTGTATGTATGGTGAATGAGGTCTTTCCCAATGAAATTTAACATTATCAAGATATTGAATTGAAATAAATAAATGATGAAATGAGAAGTAAAGTCGTTTGATGTGATGGTATTTCCAATCCCAAAATAGAATCGTTGGGGCTAGTTGATGAATGAATCGAGCTAGCAAAACTAGAAATTCTTTTGGGAAACTTCACATGAACCGTATGCACATGCAGATGTACAATCGCCTACATATAGTTTCTCCTTGTGATGTAGAGACTTCACTAAATTTTGTGGGAGTGTTAGATTTAGGAGTTAGTTTATTTTGCTATTAGACTAATTCTTGCTGTCCTGCTTCCACCCGGAGAGTGGAACGTCAGTCATGATTTCTGTTCATGGAAATGTTCTGTTCGTGTAAATTTCCATGCTGATCACTGTTTCGACAGGCATTTTACTGTTTGTTTTTTTGGTTTCTGTTAGGATTGACGAAAATATGGATGACACGCTCGCAAATGTAGAGGGTGCACAGGGGGCTTTGCTGAAGTACCTGAACAGCATATCATCAAATAGGTGGCTCATGATCAAAATATTTTTTGTATTGATCTTTTTCCTCATGGTTTTCCTATTTTTTGTGGCTTAGTCCGTTTAGAACATGAAAACAAGAGGAGATAAGCGACTTCTTTTACTATGATACACATGTTCATCCCTCCGAACCCCTATCAGATATATTCTCTTGCGAGGAGGTAGTATCGGTGTTTCGTGCCCGGTTCTCTTTTGTCTTTCGATGTAATGAAAGCACATAATCGTAAGAGATATCCTTTTTGGCCGGTGGATCAATTGTACAAGATGATGGAAACCACAAAACTGATGGAACGTTTATAGTGTTACTGCTTTTCCAGGGTGTTTGAATGCAGCGAGCTTGTACTTAAAACATTTCGTGCAGCAGAGTGGTTCTCTATTGTAGTGAAGTATCTAAGTAGCTCAGTCTTGTGGTGAGCTATTTCTGCATCTTTTCTGCAACCTGCCTCTGCTGAAGTTATTTCGGGTGCGTTTGGGAATGCTTTTCAATGCAGCTATGAGCACTCAAAGTACCTTGAAAAACTTCAACATTGGGGAATAACGATCTTTTAATAATATTGTCTAAGTGCAGGCCAAGTCCATGCGTACGATGACATGATTCAAGGCAAATGGGAAAATCATTAGGGTGAGGATGCAACAATTCAAAAAGGTTAATTAATTTGTGAGATAATGATATGACGGGCGCGCGGATAGACAGAACTTATCTTATTGACTTTATGTAACTTGCATTTCGATCACGACGCTCTATTTCAGTGATTGTCTTGTCATACTATTGGATGAATTGGTTCCCATTCTGTCATTTGATCAAATTATTAGAGAGGCTTTCAAGAGCTTATTCGTGCGCTTTCTCAATTAAGAACAGACCCCGATCATGTGCTTAACGACTCGAATCCATCTAGGCCCTCGAGGGACAGACAAGCTTGAAAACTGATTTTGACCGGGTTTGGCAATTGCATTTTGTTAGAAGCTCGATCCTATTCGAAAAATACAGCGTACTTTCTTTGATTGATAATCCAATTAAGTGCTGAAATTAAAAAAATTCAGTCACTTGATGAGATTAAGCTTGTTTGACAATCACAACGAACATCGACTTAAAAATGCAATTAAGTGGAGAGATCACTTAATAGGGTAAGTAATGAACAACGACTACTTAATTCTTCAAGTAGAAAAGGTAACCGACGGCAATTAGAAATCCTGTCAATTTATATTGTTAAAACTCATCAGCGATGATCTCAATTTCATTAAATGCATATTAACAATACTCAGTACTCAATTCGAAGTTATTATCAAATAAGTTCTTACATCAGACAAAAAAAAAATTACCATGTTTTCGTTTTGGAAACGAATCAGCCCGACCCGAGACCCGGGTCCGAACCGACCCGCTCGTTCGGAGAAACGGAGGACGATTTTTCTCCTTATCCGAACCAAAACATCCGGCACCGCCCCCCAAAAACGTCACCGTATCCAGAGTTCCGCAAACTGAAACTGGTAGAAATCCCCTCCCCTACGGAAAAAAATCAAAAAATTAATTAATTAATTAATTAAAAAAAAAACCCGTATATATAGCCAGTGCGTCCTCTTCCATTTCCTCGTTATCCCTACCACCTCCCCCCCCTCTTCTCATCTCCATCGGAACGACGAAACCCTAATTTCTCTCCGTCTCCTCCCTTCCTTCCTTCTCTGCAACCTCGTCCCCCTTCCGCTCCCGCAGCCTCGTCTCCGCCCTCGGCGCATCATCTTCTCGAGCCTTCCCGTGCCCGGAATTGCCTGCGCGTAATCCCTCCGACCGTCTTTTTCCGGCGGCCGCCGACCTCCGATTGCCCCCGTCGCGTATCCATTTTCGATTTGCGCGATTCTATTCCAATCTGTGCAGCTAGAACGAGCTCCCGTCGGTTTCGCCTTTTTTTTTTTTTTGGGGTCGTCTCATTTTTTCTTCTTGACACTCGTTTTCGGTTTCGCGTTTCGTTTCGGTCGTTCGTTCGTTCGTTTCGACGGGGTTAATCGCCTCTGCAATTCGTCGAAAAAAATTCACAAATACTTGTCTCGCCGCAATCGTGCCTAAAGAATTCGATCGATAAAGTTCCCGATCGTCCCCCCCACCTGTAGAGTTCCTAGCCGATTTTTTTTTTCCCTTCGGATAGATCGTCGCGTCTGAAAGCTCTGTGGGAAAATCGCCTGGGGATACCTTCGGTTTCGATATCTTTGGTCGGTGGGTTTCGAATCGATACGCAAAGGTCCTTATCGTTTTTTTTTTTTTGGGTTTTGGAGAGATGGTTGGTGGAGGTAGCAGGAGGGACGAGGGATCCCTGGTGATCAACAACACCAACGTGTTCGCCGCGCTCGAGACCTTGAGGAAGAAGAAGAAGTCGGATAAGGATAAGGGGTCGAAGAGCGGGAAAGGGTCGTCGAAGTCGGCTGCCCAGTCGCAGGCCAAGGAGCCCGAGCCTCAGGTTTTCTGGGCCCCGACGCCGCTGAAGGAGAAGTCTTGGGCGGATGTCGATGACGATGATGATGATGATTATTATGCCACCACTGCACCGCCCCCTGTAGTGTGGGGGAAGACACCCCAGACTGAGGAGCAGCAGGCCACTAATGTAGAGGTTTGTCATGGCATTATGCATGTAAATCGTGGATATATTGCACGTAAGATGCTCTGATGTCTCTTTCCTTGGTTGAATTGATGATTGGAGAGGAACCTTTGATTGGATTTTTTGTTGGCTCGTTTGTTTCGAATTGGTTCTATGATTCAGCAGATGAGTTCATGGTGAGCATGCGTGTTGTGTAGTGCAGCGACCAGTCGTGCTCTGGCGCTATTATTTCCATGGCACGATTACTCATTTTTAAGCTCGGGCACGATACTTAACTTTCGGGTTTTGTTGGGATGATACATGTACTTGCTGTCCGGCAACATATCCGATGTTATCTTAGATTTTAAGAGCAGACATGAACTTGCTTGATTGCAACTTGAGTATTGTTTTCATCAGGTGAAATGGTTACTTTTTTGTCGTTACGTGTTTAATGCCGTGATTATATTTTAGAGTAACCGCCATAAGTTTTCTTAGAGTTTGAGATTACAATAGGCCTAGGCAACTGTAGACAGCACTTCGATCTTTTCGAGAGCTGTCCTTTTACGAATTACCAATTGTTAGCTTTCAGTTGTAAAATGGAAGACAACGTTTATGATACCACGGCTCCATGAAATTCGTGTTATCAAAATCAAGAACGTGGCGATGAGTTGCTGTGAAACGGATTAAGTCGCTCTTAAATGCACATGCAAGATGTGTCTACCCCATATGTTGCGAGATATAATTTTTTTGTCAGCGGGTTGGGGTTCAGGAGGTTTATGCCACCTCATTGATTCTGGTTTTTACTTACCAAAAAAGGACCATTTTTTCTATTTTAGATATATCATTTGCCTGCTTCCATAATAAAAAACCGTCGGATGTCAGTCTCTCTAGAAGATTAGCTTAAATCTTATTATGATTATGTTGTTCCTCGTTCATTATACACATTTGCTATAAGGATTTGCTGTCATTTCTGCTTAATTGTATCCATCCTTACGCAGTGAGTAACTGCAGGCAGAACTTGGAAGTCCTTAGTCTTTTGAAGTCAGTAATCTGACTGAAAGTCTTGCCACGGATAAGTACCAGTACCATATTGTTTTGCTTGCCTTGCTGGAATAAGATGTTTTTTCTTAAGCATTCCATGAACTTAGCATCAATAACTTTGGGGGGTTTTCTGTTTTCTTCTTCTATTCACTGTTGCTTTGGACTATCCATTGTGGTACCGCTTTTTGTTTTATTCTTTGAATTTCTTAATGTCCTATTCATGTTCTTGTGCGTATGTCAGTATAATAAAGCCTAATTGAGTATGCTGTGCAATGATCACGGAGGTAATTTTTTTTTTTGATAAATATTGCCGAACTGGTTATTTATAGGCTGTTTGCAAATGTCAGCGTAGTTTAACCGTGTAAGATTTTTCTTTCAAACACTAGATAAGAATTCAGGGGTATGAGTAGTGCTTATTACAGTTCTTTTTTGCATCATGTTGATTGAATACCGTCCCTTCATCTAGTCATCTTTTTTCCTTGTAGAATTGTCAACTAGGAAGCCAGACCCAAACTTTGGTACTGCATTCTAGTCTTGGAGATTTTTTTGTAGACATACTTGATAAAATTCGGTGGCACAATCTGAAAATGATTGTATTGCTGCTAAGTTAGATGTCTATTCTGTATGGTTGCTGTCAAATGTATTGTTGTGGTTAGTAAACCTATTTACTTTTTTTATGTGACCTTGGACATCTGATTTTGGACCTTAAAACTTTTAGTTAGGGGTTGAGAATGGAAGAGAGAATACTGACTTTACTGTTAAAGTTTACTTGTTTAAATGTTAGCCATGATGTGCTATCCTTATATTTTACTATGTATTCTGAGTACAGGATACAGAGAGTGAGGATGATATTCTTGATGAAGGGGATGATGATTTGGAGGAAGAGCATGAGCATGAACAAGAACAAGAACAAGAAGTTCCAGAACACCCAGAGCCACTGGCAAAAAAGCCTGCTGAAGTTCCTGCTGTTTCCAAAGAGACAGAGAGACAGCTCTCCAAAAAAGAAAGGAAGAAGAAGGAGCTTGCGGAACTTGAAGCACTTTTAGCTGATTTCGGTGTCGCACCGAAAGAGAACAATGGCCAAGATGAGCCACGCGGTAATTAATTATGCATCATCTTTTATGATCACAGTGAAGTTTTACAAAAAGGATAGGTGCTGACATCCCATGTCCTTTATCACTGGCACAATGGGAAACTAGGATATTCAGGCACAGCGGCATGTTTAATTGGGTGGCAATCCATTAGAGTCCATTTTGAGATTATTAATGGTTCAGTTGTTTCTTATTTTCTTTTCTGTTACTGATCTTATGTTGAAAGCTATTGGCTTTCTTTTTCGAGTCCAGTCAGTTTTTTGAATCTTACCTTAGCTATGCATTGTCATTTACAGATGCATCGCTAGATAAGAAAGATGCGGAGCCTGATGGTGAGGGTGAAAAGAAGGAAAGTGCTCCTGGAGAGTCGAAAAGTGCCAAGAAGAAGAAGAAGAAGGACAAGTCTTCCAAGGAGACAAAAGAGCCCCAGGATCAGCCCAACAGTACAGATGTTGTGAACGAACCAGAAGTTGGAGCTGAACAGGTAGGTGAAGATGGATCATCTGTTGACATAAAAGAGCGGCTAAAGAAGATGACCTCAATGAAGAAGAAGAAATCCTCCAAAGAGATGGATGCTGCTGCAAAAGCTGCTGCTCAGGAGGCTGCCGCTAGGAGTGCAAGGCTCGCGGCAGCAAAGAAAAAGGAGAAAAACCATTACAACCAGCAGCCAGTACGGTAAAGGACCGAGTGTCATTTGGCATCTGCGTCTTAAACATGTACTTTGTGCTGTTCATATGGCAATTGGGAATAATCTTTGGGCCTTGTGGCTCCGATTTCTGAGGTGACCTTTAGTTGTATTTGCTGTGAACTAGAAGATTTTTCTTTTTTGAATCTTGGATTTGTTGTGGCGCCGTTGCCGTGGCCACAATCATTTTGCCAGTTTTGCTTATATGATTTAAATTCGTCCTTGGATGATCGATAGTTGCTTATAGTTTGGTATATAAGCCTATGTCTACCCTAGATGGTAGCGGCTAGGTAATCTTGACGGATATCTCAGACCGTGAGCAGGCTAAGGCATCCTCTGGCTGATGTAGAAGTAGGATCCAGGGTGCTAATCATCAATTAGGGTTGCCAACTCTTGTTTGCGTGTTGTGCTCGTGTTGACTGTTCTGTCACATCGTGTCGTTTGAAAAAATGTTTAATACATTTTCATAATGTTTTCTATTCAAAATGAATGAAAACGTATTAACTCGCTTCGGTTTCAGTTAAGTCGTGCCTTGTGTGGGATTCACGGTTCTCTCAACATGTTTGTGTTGGGTTCGACTAGTGTTCTCGGTGTCGCTTTGGAAAATCTTCTTGAGTATGTGCATCTCTCATTCAGGTGCAAGTTTGGTACTCGCGCTTTCCTATTTATGGATGAAAGGGATATAATAGAATTTGATGTTTGTGGAGTTTCGCCTTACGAAAAGATTGAGACAGCTGACCCACCCATCGGTGGCCGCGTTGGTTTCCTTTCACGAGAGGTTCTGGATTCAAACTTGCCCATCGGTGATTTAAGTGGGGAGTCGTGGCGGTGGGATGCTGCGCTAGCCCCCTCGAGGACTAGTCGGGCATCACCGCTGGTTTGAGCTCTAGCTCGCCGGCCGCGCGGACACCTCGGTTATCAAAAAAAAAAAAAAAAGATTGAGACAGCTGAGGGATAGTGGGGGGGAGTAATGGCCTGCATGCATACATTGATGTACAAAGCTGAACCTCGAATTTAACAAGTAGATGTCAAATATGTTTTGTCATCGAAAGTAACAGAACAGGAAAACTAGTTCCTCTTCAATTTTGGGTTCGCATTGTTCACATATTTGGTCTTAAATGACGAGAAGAGTTTGCAAGGCCCATTTCGGGCTCGGGCTATTCAAGAGCCTATTGGCCATTGGGAATGGGGTGTAGCTGCACTTCTTCCTTAACAATAGTTGCAAACTCTGCTGAGTTTAATTTTTGTGTGTATGTCCCTGTTGACACTAGACAAAATCTAGGCCCAAACATGAAGAAGAAGCTAATAGCCTGAGGCTAGGTCAAGACACACACACAACACGTAAGGCTCAATGAATACAACGCTTAGCAAGCTCATCAATCATGAATATAGTAACAAAACCATTGGCTCTACAAAGTTCATTGATGGAATTCTTGACGAGTTTATCAATCGTGAGTTTATGAATGGACAGAGTTTAAGTGAAGTTCATCACATGTAGAAACGATCGATTGATTCGAAACCTGAATAAAATGTTGGAGAGTGAGTCAAGGAGGTTTCCATCGGTTAGATTAGATGATAACTGTAGCTAAAGGATTGGGGCTGTTGCAAATCATTCCTAGAATGGCGTGCAAGTAAAGAGGCAGTCGGAGATTCTTGCAAAATATGATTGCCGTACATAATAGAATGACTCATTAAAGATACAAAAAGAATCAAAGTAAAACACATCATACACAACCGACACAGATAAGACACTACGGGAAAATGTCCCACAATATCAAAAGACATAAGAGATTATAAAGAGCCTTTTAGATTTTGAAGATGAGAAGATCGTTCGTGATAGATTGATTTGGATTAAATTTAGCCCAAGTTTGAATTGCAAATTCGAATTAGATTAAGTTTTCGAATTTCAATAGTTGCCTTCGATTATAAAATTTTTCCAGCTATGTCTTGTTATCTTTCTACTTTCTCTACACACTTTATTGATTTTCATTTAAAAAAAAAATCCAATTTCAATCGTCGAGCAAGTATGACCATCAAGAAATTGAGTCATCCGTTCCAATTCAATAAAGTTTTCACGCAATTACTTTTTCGTTTTCAGTTATTTGACTGCGCATTATTCAGTAACTCGAGTTCCACAGAATCTTTAGGACTTCAAGGCATATTGGAGCCTTCTCGCTTTTGATTTAAATTCAAAATCACGATGCTTTAATTGGCCATCGATGATCTTCGATCGGACCTTAATAATTGAAACCGCTGAGCTTCGAAAGGCCCACGAGTTCACAAAAACACACGCGGCAATCTCTCGTATCTTATACGTTTGTCGTGTGTTTTAGGAGAACAAGCAAGCAACTATTCGAAGTCAGAAACCTTGGTGACTTCACTTCTGCCTTTTTCCTGGAAAAAGACACTGTCCGGAAGCAAATCGTAACAAAATTTTTTGAGTGAGGTTTGATCGAAAACGTTTCGTGTTGGATGAGGCATAAACATGTACAGGTGCGTGCAATTCAAGCAACGTTCATATGAATTTTGCATGTCAACATAAGACGGACTCGAAAGAATCTTAATTCCTTTTGTTAATGGCCTCTCTGCCACTGCACATCTGTTGCCACCCGAACAGCCTTTTCATGCAGCAACAGCTTCAGCCGCTTCCAGAGCTTTCGACTCCCATTGGTTCGCCATCGCCTCCTGTCGAACCTTCCTTTGGAGAATCTCCAGCTGCGAAAACCTACCATGGCGGCGTCAAGAACTCTCCTTGAGAAGAGCTCCGTCGCAGTCGAGCTCGATAATCCCGTCACGGGGTTCTCGCCATTTCAAAAATCATCCGGGGTCTCGTTTTCTTTCTTCCTACTGGCGACATGCAATCCAGTTAAACTCGACGTATTCATCGATCGCTTTCGTCTAATAGCTTAAATTTTAAGAATAATTTAGCAATTATACTTCATCTTAGGTTAAACTTCGCATGGTGTCCCAGGACATGAGTTGCTTTGTCCAAGCATCCACGGAAAGATAAAGGCTACCGCGGTCATTTCACACCAATTACTGTGTGGGCAATTTGGTCAGAAGGCTCTCGAAATGTTCTCTCTCTGTCCACTTCTTCCCTCTCAGAAAAACAAAAATTAAGCCCAACGTCTCAAGCAAAGCCCCCCACGTCCATGTCCATTCCTCTCTCTGTCGAGCGAGCGAAGCTTGTTGTGTCGATCGAGTCTGGCACTTGGCAGCGAACGCATCGACGAGTAAGCGATTCTCGCGCTTCATTCGTTTCGTGCTCTCAACGTTCACTTCGTCGCCGTCGTCGTCGTCTGTCTTCTCCTTCTAGTTCCATGTGCGCCGGAGCTGATCTTTTCGGGCTTATGTTCTTGTTCGATTGAGTGGGTGCCGGGTTTTCGAGGCTCCGATTCGTGGGTAATGGGAAATTTTCGATCTTCTATTCAAATTCCCGTGCTGTTGACTCTGGGGTTCGTTGGCGAGGGAGTTAAGGTGATTAACCGGCTGGGCTGATAGGAGTAGCTCAGTGAGAAATTCAGCTCAAAGAACGAGATAAGCGCGGCGGGTTTTTCTTTTCTTGGATGATTATCGTGTCTTTAGGATCCAGTAACTCACGGAAACGATTGCCCGTTCGGTTGTTTTTAGCTTTGGAGTGAGTTTTTTCCGTAGTTTCTCAACTTTCGCGCGGCGTTCGTTTCATTCGGGGATCGTGGGATGACTTTTGTTCGTTGGTTTGGTTTGATTTTCTTGCAGGTTGTGAATGCTTGACCGACGGGGACCGTTTTGATATTGTAGGGGACTAAGAGCATTATGCTTGGTCTTAGTCCCCAGCAGATGAGCTGCGACAGCTCGAAATCATCCAGTCAGGGATAATGAGTATAAGACTTCAGAGCCCTTTTCTTGGTGTTACCCTTTCTAGCTCAATAAATAAAAGAAGCAATGTCGACCTTTTCGAACCAGAAAGAATGCAAAATCGAACGGCGATTTGGAAGTGTAAGTGTGCTAAGCCAAACCCCTGGGTGTCCAGGGCGATTTGGTTCTCTCACTTCTACAGGAAAAATGTGGAGTTACTAAAGAATAATCTCGGGTCAAGAAGTGGATCGATTGTTAATTGCGTCAAGGAACCTTTTTCTAGAAGCAAGGCTCTGGTAAGGTCTTTGACACCTCAATGGCATGAGGGACTGATATTATTTAGGTGCTCAATATTTATCGCTGTGATATCTGGGGTCTGCTTATTGGTATGGTATGGGCAATCAAAAGCCAAGGGCTTCATTGAAGCCAAGCTTTTACCTTCTGTTTGTTCCACCCTTAGTGATTATATCCAGCGCGAACTTGACTTTGGAAAGGTCAGAAGGATTTCTCCTTTAAGCATAACCTTGGAGTCATGTTCTTTTGGTCCTCATTTGGAAGAATTTTCTTGTGGTGAGGTTCCCACCATTAAACTTCGCATTCGACCTTTTTCTAGTTTGAGGAGGGGAAAGATTGTCATTGACGCTGTTCTATCCGACCCATGTCTCTTGGTTGCGCAAAAGAAGGATTTTACTTGGTTAGGGATTCCCTCATCAGAGGGGAGTCTGCAGAGGCGGTCTTCTTCAGAAGAAGGCATTGACCATCGGACAAGAACTAGGAGAATTGCTTGGGAGGAAGCGGCCACTCGGTGGGCTAGAGAAAGGGATGACGCGGCTAGGCAAGCTTCAGAGATTGGTTATGTAGTCCCTGAGAAAGGCTCTGGTCCATCCAAAGAAAGTGTTAAGGAGACAGAAAGTAATTTCACAAAATCGACGAGTTCCGAGTCCTTTTTGTGCATGGAGGAGAAGATGCATTGGAGTGATCATCATTGTATGGACACAGGTGTCGATTATGATATGAGGCATGCAGATCTAGAGAAATCATTTGGTGTGAAAGTACCTGACTCTGGACTGAACTTCTGGTCTACAGTGATCAAACGAGTTCGAAAGCACAAGAGGAAATCTAACGGTGGTAGTTATTCTGAAGATGTTCTTGCTGCTAAGAACAGAATACTCAAGCGCAGTGCAACAGCAGCAGCGTCTTATTTCCAGAGACTATCCCAAAGGACTTCTGATGAGACCTCACAGTCACTTGCAGGTTATGATTTTATGGATGTCAAGAGTTCTCTACAGGAAAGTCAGGGGGATATTGTCGATGTTTCTGCGACGAGTGTCAAAGGACAGTTGACAGATGATACCCGTATGGGTGAACGTCTCGAAACTTCAGAATTGGATCATC